TGTATAAAACAATTCAACTCGATACTGATGCAAATTTTTCATGTGCTCAACTCTTCGTCGTGGCTGCCTTCGAATTGCAAACATATCATCCATATTCAAAAGGACAATATCATGTTTTTTGCAAAATAAAGAAATTTCACTCAATAAAGATTTCCATCATTCATCTCTCAACAATTGTAACCGCTGTTTTAGAGACTTTGACTAGGGCCATAGCATTTACAATGTCTTGATCTTTTCTCTACAATGCTTGTGGCAACTCATTAGTAATTGTCAATATACTTTTCATCATATGCAAGCTAAATGCAAAATCAAAGGAATAGATTACATCTAATAGATTTAGGGGTGAAATCGGATCAAGTCGAGTATTTGGTAAATCGAACTCAACTCGATCTCTATAGTACCGAGTTCAAGTTCAAGTTCAAGTTCAAGTCTGATCGAACATGAGAAATCAAGTTCAAACTCGAACTTGGTACTTGAAATTGGAAATCGAATTCGAATTCAAGTTCCTATAATATCGAGCTTTTTTCGAGTTTTAGTCGAGTTTTATTCGAGTTTTAGTCGAGTTCAAGTTCGAACTCGATTTCAAGCTCAGCTAATAGGGGTGGATTTGCAAATTTTATAAATTTTAAATTACATATGACCCCTATTACTTTAAAAACTGTCAACTTCACCATCGAGCTTGGAAATACTCGCGAATATATTGAATCGAGTTTTACTCGATTAACTACTCGAACTCGACTCGACTAATGCGGAGTCGAGTTTAAGCCAACATCAAGTATAGTTTAAGTGGCTCGACTTGATTTTCACCCTTAAATAGATTACATGCTTCACCCATTTGTTTAGGATTTAAACCATTATGTGCAAACCCAACAGCTCTTATTCATTTCATTTTCACTCCCAATAAAATTTTTAAAAACTAATAAATCCTCTTGTATAAAAATAAAAATCACAAAGAATATGTAATAAATATATTAGAATTAAAAAAGAGGTTTTACAAAAACAAAATCCAAACTTACCATGGGGGCCGGCTATTCCGTTCTCAAAATCTCAAAGATTTATAAGGATAAAATTTAAATAAATAGAAATAGAAAATCTGAAATTTTTAAAAAATTGAGTGGGGACCGTGGTCCCCACTCGTCATTCATTAAATCCGCCCCTGACCCAGCCACCACCACCCAGCACCACTGCCGACAGTGGGCCAACCACCACAGACCACCGTTGGAAAATTGTCGGAGTCCCTAAAAAAGAAGAAAATTATGTGGGAGGCTCCGGGAGGCTTCGATATGGCCGAAAACGGCCATATCAGGCCAGATCTGGTCGCTAACAGCCAGGTCTGGACCAGATCTGGCCGTTAACGGCCACGGACATTAGGGGTGTGCAAATCTGGATATCCGATCCGAATTTTCAGATCAGACTATACTTTGATCCGAATCCGATCTGAATTATGCAGATATCCGGATTTACGGATATCCGAATGTGATCCGAATTTAACAATTTTCTTTTTAAAATCAAATAATTCTAGAAATAAAATTGAAATTATAATTCCCTTACAATTACATGATAAAAGTATCTTAAAAAAATTAACATGAAGCACAAAACATTTAACTTATGTTGTCCAAACATTTAATTCTTTGAATGTGTTTCATATGAACTTTATGTACACAACATTTTTGCTTGGTCTGGAACTTGTAGCTGATACAACTCCACATTTTCAATTACTTCCTTCGGAGCACCTCGACCCAGAAACGTGAGAACCTATGGCCACGAACCAAACACCATAGTAAGAACATCTGCAGATCATCCTTTAGAAACGAAATATTTACAGATTTTGACAGAAAATGAAATAAAAACGTTACTGTTAATTTTTTTTCCAGCTATTTTAATCCAAGGCCTCTTATTCCAAGCCCTCAGAAACAATGAGGACATTACAATTCATGGATGAATATATAATATATGAGAGAAAGCAATGTCATTTTTGAACTATCATCAGTTCTATCATAACAGTTGGAGAAAGTACAGAACAAAAGCCAGATGATGGCAAAGATGTTGATTAGTAGACATAACCAAATACGGTCAAACTACTTCATTATTGCTTGCTTCGAGAGAAAAAACAGAAATGGGAATGAGGAAACAAGAATCAAACCTCATTTGCCTCCACTCAACTTGTTCCTATCTCACTATCTCAGCAGTCAGCACTTCACCTTTCGGTGAAGCAAGCAAGCAATTCATCTCAAACAAACCAAATTAAAACATTTTCAGTTTCTCATAATATTCCTTTTCCACTTTTCTATCACCAACCATGCTTCCTTCCACAATAAACAAAGCCAGGAAAATTCTCCAGTGGATTAGATTTAGGGGTCAAACTACAATACCCAGATACTTTTTTCGGTGATAAAGATTAAATTATAAAAACAAAGTTTTATTGTAGTCAAATTTGTAGATTCAATATTTATTGTAGCCTCAGGGATATATGACGTGAACAAAATTCAGCAACACTAAATTCTAAAGAAATTAACTTACAATCGATTTGGGGCTTCAATCGTCAGAGAGACTGAGATCTGACAGAGTTGAGCGAGAGACACTGGCCGCTGTGCGTGTTCGAGCGAAAGAGACTGAGAGAGTTGAGCGAGAGAGAGTGACTGAGTGAGAGACTGAGCTGAGATCTGGTCTGAGAGTTTGAGTGACTGTGAGGTCTGTGCGACTGTGCGTGACTGCGTGTTCCAGCGAGGCAGCGGCCAGCGAGAGCCGAGAGAGACTGAGACTCTGAGAGTGAGAGAGACAGAGAGTGTGTGAGGTTTGTGCTATGCGTGACTGCGTCTGCGTGTTGCCGTGTTCCAGCGAGAGAGACTGAGAGTGAGAGAGTGAGAGACAGGCTTCCGACTTCTGAGTTCCGACAAGAGCCGAGAGAGACTGAGACGAGTGAGAGACACAGAGTTGAGTAATTGAATTTGAGTTAATTGTGACATTGTGTTAGACTTAGGGTTATTGACTTATTGTTAGTTGTTACACTCAAAAGTCAAAACGACGTAGTTTTGTAAAATCCGGATCGGATTCAGATTTAACATTTCCGATCCGGTATCCGATCCGAATATTCAGATTTTTTAAAATAACGATCCGTATCCGATCCGATTTTTACGGATCAGAGCGGATCGGATATCGGATTTTTTTGCACAGCCCTAACGGACATGGCCGTTAACGGCCAAATCTATTCTGGCCGGAATAGATCTGGCAGAATAGATTTGGCCGTTAACGGACAGGTCATTAACGGCCAGATCTATTCTGACCGGAATAGATTTGGTCGTTAACGGACAGGTCCGTGGCTGTTAACGGCCAGATCTGGTCCAGATCTGGCCTGATATGGCCGTTTTCGGTCATCAATATGGCTGGAAATGGCCATATCGAATCCTCCCGGAGCCTCCCACATAATTTTCTTCTTTTTTAGGGACTTCGGCGATTTTCCAACGGTGGTTCGCGGTGGTGGCAGGCGGCGGCAGGAGGTGGGGGTGATTTCATCATAAATTAAAGTTTTATATAAGCGGGGGTGTTTTAGCTAAATCTGAAATATTGGGGGTTAAAAGAAATTATTCAAAAATTAATAATAAAAATAATATTATATTAATATTTAAAAGGAGGACAATTTAGTAATTTAAATAACATACCCACTAATTTATTCCCCATAACCAAACATATTAATAAAACATACCCACCAACTAACCAAACATATTTTCTTAAAAATTCTCAGTAATCTTCCAAGGTAATCTATCTTTCCAGTAATCCAACATTCCCAGTAATCTAACGTTCTTGAACCAAACGCCCCCTTAGTTGTATCTTCTAACTTATTTGGGGTTGCGGAAAAGGCTATAGTTGAATTGATTAAGGAGTGTAATGATAGTGAAGATGGCAATTTGAAGCTCATGGATGCCCTTGATGGATTACGCAAGGACGGGTTTAAGCTTAATTACCCTTGTTATAGCAGTCTTTTGATGTCTTTAGCTGAGTTGAATTTGGGTTTTGTAGCATATATAGTATATAGAAGAATGGTTCTTGATGGTTTTGTTATTGGCGATACTGATTATAGAACCATAATTAATGCTTTATGCAGTGTGGGCTTGTGCATTTATGCAGTGTGGGCTTGTGCAAGCTGCTGAAATGTTCTTGTGTAATGAGGTTTTGAATTCAAGGAGACCTTGAGCTATCACAATTTTGGATACATTATGGTTTGGCGACTTGGTTATTACACTTCTAAGCATCACAAAGAGCCTGTGCGTGAAACATCAAACCGAGAGACCCTGCACTCAATGTGTAGTAAATACTAAATATAGCTTGTAAATGATGTCAGTGCTTTGCTAGTATAGAAAAGAGTAGAGACACGTGTAACTCATGCAATGAATGTACTGTGTAAGCCATGTCAACATGCAACGAGTCTATCCCACGTAATTAAGTATCAATCATATAAAGGATTAAATGAGTTAAATCTATTTTGATATCCGACATTAATTATGTCACAAATCCATATATTATAGCTCATTAAAACCATCTAATTATATATCAGAATAAGAAGAATGTTATTTACCTGCTGGAAGTCACATAAAGTAGTTCAGCATCCCTTAACAAGGTTAGAACTTGAAGGTCAAGTGTCGTAGCCCCTTCAATCTCTCAGGGGGACACTGGCGCAAACTGGCAGAAGGCAGTAGATGGCGTCAACTCCCCTGGCAACTCCACTATCATGCTGCCCCATGGCAGATGATGATGGCTTTAAACTTTTTCATATGTTGAGATACAATTATCAGCTTAACGAGAATCCTAGCAGTTTCAAGAATAAAGTATCGAAAACTTAAATAATAGAAACTATATGACATTTTTTTCTACAAATTTGTATACAAAACTTCTCAGATGAATTTTAAACCAATCTTTCATTTTCTTCTTTGTTTTAACGCAAAAGACAGATTCTACGATAAAAATTTAGTCAATGAAGAAAATGCTTTGATCACAGCAGAGGAAAGAACATAGAAGATATCCATAACTAAGAAGCAATGAGAAAGCAGCCACGCAGTTAAAAAAAGTGTGAAAGATCCAATAAAGAAATTGATGGACCATATAAAATAAAGCCCTGTTGCTTCTGAGCATAGAGTGATATAATTTTTTTAAAGGCAAAATTTTTACCATCGTGCTAGATGAGAGTTTTTCTGTATTTTACCTGAACAATGAGATAAGGGATGTTTGAATAAAGTTGAGCAGCTTATCCACTTCAATTTATTCTCCACTGGTTAACTTGACCACAAAAGACCATGCAAACATACAGATTATTTACATCATGCTGCTAAGCTGCTCAACTGAGCAAGTTGAGCATTCATTGAAATTGTCAGCTTTGACAGAAGACCAACATTTAGACCTACCATCATGTTGTATCCACAATAATTAAATGACCAACTACTGGCCTTTCAACAGCCAATATTTTTGCAGCTAGTTGCCTTCACTAAACATAGTTTTCATTATCCCATTTTCAAAGTCTATAACGACTATTCCTGTTTATTCATTAAACTGCGAGATGGCATCTAGATTGGAGCTTCGGCTGGCCCTATAACCAGCATTTTTCATTTCCATGGCTAATCCTTCCAACATCTCATATATCTCATCACTTTGCGGATACTCTTGATCCTTAGACGCAAAACGGTTCACATAACCTCCTCTATCAATTCAAGAACATCCAACTTCTTTTCTCAACCCTCTTACTCTCATCTCTTTCCTTACTTTGTCAACATTTTCCCAGTTTCCTTCTTCTGCATAGATATTTGAGAGCAAAACATGATAGCCCGTCATTTTGTTTCTTGTATCTAATTCAAGCAACTTCTGATTGCATCTTAGATTATTATATGTTTACTGATGTTGTTCCTATGAAATGTGACAGATTCTAACTGGTGACGGATTGCCTATGTCCTTGCAATATGGCTTTGGAGCATTTATGCCTTAAGGATTGAATATTTGATTTTAATAAGAAAATCTTAAATTCGGATAAATTTCGAATATCCGATTATCCGATCCGAATAATCGGATATCGTAAAACTGGATATCCACATAATTCGGATAATATATATCCTGATCGAAATTCGGATCGGATCGCAAAAGCCCTATTCGGATCGGATATCCGAATTTGCACACCCCTAGTTCTTTTACTTAAACAAGAGAACAAAGAATAACAGAAGTGAGAAATTGTAACACTCTCTAATTATAGTAAGTTAAAAATATGAGAGCCTTTAAGCCAATACCTATGCCAAAAATATGCTAAGCCATAGCACACACCAAGCCAAATTGGTATGAATCTTTCCCTTTTTTTTTTTTTTTTTTTTTTTTTTTTTTTTTTAAGTTTAGTGCCTAATTTGTACCATGGAAGACATCAATAAACTGGAATCAAGATAAGAGGACATAACAAGCCACACTTTTAGACAGGTTGCCATGTATCAAGAATTTCAGAGGACCACATTAACCTAAAGGCTATTAAAAAATTTGAAACAAGCCCTATAAAGAGCGAGAATTATATCTAAATCAAACAAATAAATGTATCGCATGCATGATTAAGGTAAAAAACAATACATAAGCTTAACATGAAAGAGATTCTTATACTTCAAGGAGGAATGGCCAAACCTCTGCTCTAATACTTGGATCAACCCCCTGCATGCAATGAAGAATGATACTCACAACAGTGTGAGAGAGAGAATGATAAAACAAAGTGGTCACAATTGAAATTATATGGAATAATAAGTCGACATATAAGTCTGATCAAATTTTTAATAACATACCCAGTACGGACTTTCTTCAGAAACTTGACACCACCTTCAATAAATCTTCCATGTGTAAATAAGCTCTTCCATTATTTGGCAAGAAGGCATGTTTTCTATCCTACAAGACAATGGTGATTTAAGAGTACCCTTGAAAAAGAAGAAAAAACAACAAATAAATATCTTCATAAAAGGGAATGGAAAATAACAATTTAATTCGAAAAACAATGCAGAACAAAAATGGAAGCGTCAATGGGCAATGCACATATACACAATAGACTAGGGAAATTTGGAGAACTTCATAACAGAAAGAAAATAAAAGATAAAAGCACAAGCTTCTTTCCATATACATTGAGATGTGCAAACAAACAAAAGCAAACGGGAAAAGGCACACATCTAACTCATCAACACTAACACTTACACTTTAAATTGGTCATCCCTGCAATATTTAGATATGACTCAGTCCACTTGTAAAATAAAAATGACAAGGTGCCACCATTTGTTTGGCTGAAGAGACACAAGATAAGAAATGGAATAATATATTTCAAGACAAAATCAAACCGTCAGAAACACCAAACTGAACTGCAGTATCGGTCTCTTTTTTTGGGTGGTTATTCGCCTCTACCCTGCCCTGGACACAGGAACTCCAATTGTTAACCCTTAAATAACTTTTGCAGGACAAACAAATTGACTCCGTATTATAAATGACAAAGCCCCAAAGAATGGCTCTTAGGATCGACATGCAACAAAAACAAAAATCACGAGTGTTAGTAGAGTTAATTGAAATGCTACCTTTGTCAGTAGAGTGAAGGGCGTTGGGATGGTGGATGGCGACGACCTGGTGCGACTATGGTAGCAGCTGAGATTGGAGAATGTGGTGGCTAGCGCTTTCAAAATTGAAAGAAAATTTGGGGAGAATTTTTTTGGTCCCTATTTTAGGGAAATTGAAATTGATTTGATTTGTTTGAGGGAAAGTGGAGATTTCAAATTTTAGGGTATTTTGAAAATTTCTTTTTTTTTTAAGTTTTGGGAGTAAGTGATGTGGCAGTTTGGTGAGGTGGCAGATGAGATGACATCTGCCATGTCAACTGCCATGTCATAATGTGAGAGAATGGCGTAAGAGGGTGGTGTAAAGCTAGTTTTACTCCTACACCTCTGATATGTGTAAAGTAGAGTAGTTGAAGGCTAAAGTAAAGAGAAGAAGTTGACTTAGGCTAACTACTTAAAACACTAGTAAAAAAGCGACAGCATATAAAGTATCACTTTAAGTAAGTGAAGGATAGTTGTGACATTTTACTTCTTTCAGCTTCCAGCATTTGTCTTTCATAGTCAATATCCCCCCTCAAGCTAAACTGCCTGCAGTTTGAGCTTGTAAAAAAAAACTTTGGCTCGGCAATAAACAAATCCCATCACTCTGCAGTAAAATGAATTGAAACTCCAACTTCACTACACTTCAGATCACATTTGTAGTAGATCTCAACTTGATTCTGCTTCAATAGCTGCTCTGATTGCAAATCAGATCTTCATAACCTTCAGTGTGTCAATCTGAACTGTAATCCTCAGCTACTACACAAACTAACCAACAGTACCAGCTTCAGTTCATCAACCGCTCACCTTATCTACTACACAAACTCAATGAGGAACTTCACTTCAGTAAACCATCAGCAACAGCTTAAAGGAACTTCACTTCAGTAAACCAACAGATATCAGCTTCAGTTTATCAACAGCTAAATTGTGCTTCAATATGCCAACATCAACAATAGCACATTATCAACAACTTTCACTTCAATTTTAATCTCAGCTGCTAACCACAAGTCAATCTCAACTACTAAACCGCTACACAAAAAAAAAAATCACTCAGTATACTACAGCAACAATAAGAACTTCACCTCAGTAACAACAACAGCACAATCCAATTGAAGCTACTGGTCACAACTCCAATTACAGACTATTCAATTCATGCAGAACTTCAATTGTGGAGGGGCCTCAAAGGTTAGAATGAATTAGTTCAAGAGGCTTGGAAGCTCCACTAGAAGAATATGGAAAATAGATTGTGCAATCTACCAAATTGACATGCTAAGCAAAATGGCAAAGACCTAACAAGGTTATTATGCATTAATTGTGCAAACACAGTGCTCAAAATGTTCATGGGGGGTCCAAGTCTCTTATGTCATAGCATTGCTTTTAACTTGTCAGTACACAAAGCTTGACGGCTAAAAACATAAGTTTTCAGTTAAAGCTTGACGGCTAACAACATAAGTTTTATTGATAGAACAATAAGTGCAGATGACATACATGGAGCTGCATCGAACACAGTTTTACACTTTGACCCTAAATTCTCATTCCTAAGAGAAGCGTTACATTCTAAAGTATTAAGAGAACATCAGAATTTTATATGTAGCAAATTGAAAACAGTTGAGCAGAAGGTTTAGAAAAATCAGTAGATGAACGCATTCTGCAAACAGCAAGCATCAGAGGAAAGAGAAGACTGAAGTAAGCCTGACTGGATAGTAGAGCTGGAACAAGACGAGGATAGAGGGAATCTTTAGTTGGTACAAACCACTTTAAGCTCCCCTTGTGACAACACTATCTTGGTGACTTTGTCCTTGATCATATGAGAACAGCAAGGAATTCAACTACCAATTATTATCCTTTGTAATTTTGAAATCCTTAGCAAATTTTAGACATATGGAACACCGAGACATTTTTAAGATAAAAGAACATAGATTTCAAAGCACTTGGTAAAGAAGTAAAACCTGCATGAGAAATGTTCACACGCTCACAATTCCCAACTTAAGTTTGATCCTGGCCAGTGTAGCTTGCATTTCAAACAACTGACTCAAATCTGTGTGACATGATCAGTGGTTCTTGGCTTGATGTACCAAACTGGTTCTCTGACTGTAGCTGAAGCAGTTGTTGCATAATTATTAGAAACATTGTGAGTAGAAAGGAGGCTTGAATTGAGGAATTATAACCTTGAGCTGGAGAAGCTTGATGTGAAATCATAGCTGGTGAGACATTGCATGCTGAACAGCCAATTAGGTTGAGGAGAACTGCAGTGTGGCTTGACTTACCCATGTTAAATAGGCTTATTTCTATAATTAGAACCTCTACCATAATCTCTTCCTCCTCCTAAAAACTGATTAGACTGAAGTGCTGAGAATATTGAGGAACAAAATTCACATGTTGAGCTAAAAGAGCTGAATGAGGGTAGGATTAAAGTATTGAAATTGGGAGTTTGCTTAGGTACTAAGTACTATGGAACAGGATTATAGCAACAACACTAACACCTTTATGACCAAAACTAGGACTAGTCCGCATCAGTGGCACCTTGATTATTAACAACAATATCATTTGATTTCGGTTCTTATTCTAACCAAACTTATAATTGACATTACTGCTAAACTAACCAAATTCACCTAATCTCCATTGGAGTCTAAACTAATAGCAACTGATAGCAAAGCATTATTCTTTCTAATTTAACTCATACTTTGTAACAAATATTGTGCCTTTTGCAATGATATTCTTCCAAAGCTAGAAGTAATGTTAACACCACAACGACGAACTCAGGACAAATCCAGTTGAATTCAACAAATCCTCATCAGTTATCACACAACCACTAACAATAGTTACATCATCAACATATCGTTAGCTTTAGTCTCCGAAACAAGTCTTGTTCAAGTGTAAGCCAAATTTTGAAGCTAACTGACATTTAGAAACTAGCCTAAATATCGATTCAGAGATAGAAGCAAAAAGCCAACTCACTAGACATTGTCGATTCTCTTCCATAACGAATATTTAGGATGACCTTTTCATCATTGCACCAGTCGAAATCCTCTGAACTGACCTTCAAGAACGGAGGTGGACAAACACTCAAACCAATGATGGATCTTCAAGCTCTGAGCTGACAACAAATAAAACTGAGATCTCTAAGTCGATAGTGTCACGATGCAATTTGGGTAATAAATTACAATGTGGAAGAGAATAAATTGTATGGGATCGATGAACAGGTCAGGTAAAATTTTGCATTTTCCCAGAATTGTTTGGAGGGGAAGAAA